GGCTGCGAGAAGACCCCGCATTTCAAGTGAGCACCCCGCAAATTGTCCTGTCAACCATTATCACGTATTCTTGCGCAGCAGGCACAATGCCAGCTTGTGATGCCACCCCTCTGGAAGGCGCAGCAATGCAAGGGCAAGTTAACCGGGTTTGCTTGTAATTGCAGAGGCGCAGTCGGCACGGCCGCTTTCTCGCACCAGATGCGCATCCTTTGCAAAACCATGCCGCCGCCAGGTGTTCTTCAACTCCCTGCTGCTGGACTGCCTCGCCTCCGCCGACCGCTGGCCCGACGCCCTTGCGCACTGCCGCGCGCTGCGCCGCGCCGGCGCCGGCGCGCTGCTGGCGCACCGCCCGCTTGCCGCGCGGGCGGCGGCCTGCCTGGCGCGTGCTGGGGGCGCGAGGGCGGCGGAGGAGATGGTCCGGCTGCAGGCGGACATCACGCACGCAGAGGTCAAGGTTGGTCAAGCACAGCTGGGCTGGCTGGTCAACCCCTGCTTTGACCGGTCAAACGGACTCGTGGCGCCTACCCCTCTGAGCCGCATTTCCTGAATTGAGGAACGGCACCTCGGCGCCTAGTGACGCCCTTCTTGTCTTGTCATGAGATTCCTTAGAAACGGACGGCGCGGGGCGACACTCTTTTCCCCGCAGGCACGCGCGTGGCAGTCCTTTGCTCAGCACTGCTCCGGCGCCCACGACCAGCTGGCCGCCAGGCAGGCCGCCCTGGCGGCCCTTGATGACTACCCGCTGTGGAAGGTGGGGGCAGGCCCGCATCTGTTGCGTGCCCATTCGTGGCGTGCTCCCGCTTGTTTTTAAGTTTGCTGGTACAACGCCGTTCTGGCTTCGAGCCAGAAATTCACTCAACAGTCATGCAGGATGGCTAGGCTGCCTACGATGAATTTGTTGGATTGGGGTTTACGTGTGGTTTCCTATGATTGTTGACAGCGAGATTTATTGTCTAGATTGTTCACTCTGCTCCACGATACATGGTGGCATTTTCTTACACATGACAGCTCATTCTTAGAGCTTCCGGCATCACACTACCAGGTTGACTACCTGATGGAGGCAGCAGAGTGGGCCCTCCACAGCTCCAACGCGGCTTTCGCCGCCGCCTGCGCCGTCGGGCGCGGCGGGCGCAGCCCTCCCCCGCCCTCCGGCGAGCACGGCCCCCGCGCGCTTGGCAGCGGTGGCGGCGGCAGCGGAGGGGCGGGGCTGGGAGCTGGCGGCGTGGCGCGGGAGCTGCTGCTCGAGGCGGCGGGCATCCTGACAGATGATGACATCACCAGCGGTGGGCCGAGGGCGCGACAGTGGTGTCTTGGGGGCATCAAGGGCAGGCAAAATGCCACAGCTGAGGGTCGTTTCAACTCCTCCCGCTGCTGGGGGAGGAGTTGTGGGGCAGCCGCCCAAGCAGCCAGTGGGGCCTAGCTGCTTCGCCGTGTTAACGCCGTTTTGGCGGAGTTCTGGTGCCGTAAAAACACCGAACACGCGCGCGTGTCCTGCAGGGGTCGGCGCGAGCGAGGGCGCGGCGCCGGCGGCCGGGTTCCGCAGGCGGCCCAGCAGCGCCGCGTCTGCCGCCGGCCGCGACGAGTCGCGCGCCGCCAGCGGGGATGGCCGTGCCAAGGGCATGGCCTCGCAGGCCGGCGGCGGCAGGGTCAGCTGGGGCCGGGCCTGGGTTGGCAAAATCAGGCTGCCATGCACTCGCGCATTTTGTTAGCCGATGAGCGACGGATGGAAGTCTGGCCTCGAAACATCACCGGTGTCAGGCATGGACTGCGGGTTGATGCCAGCAGCCACCCTTGCCCTCATCAGTCCCCTCTCCACACAACACATATCCACTTGTGCCGTTGACGACCGCGCACTGGCCGCCCCCACCGCAACAAACCCGCAGAGGGACAGCACACGCGGCGGCAACCAGCAGCGTCGCGCCGCCAGCGGCGCCGGCGCCGGCGCCGGCGCCGGTGCGGGGGTGACGCCCCGCGCGCTGTTCGCCGTCCCCAAGTCGCTGCCCGCCGCGGCGCGCCTGTCCCGACTCGTGCGCGTGCACGTGCTGCTCGGCCAGGCGGCCACCGGCGGGGACGAGCAAGTATCTTTCTTGTTGGCAGCATCGCACTATGCCACGCGCCTGATCGCCGGCGCCCTGCAGTCTGCCGCCGACGCGGCAGCGTCCGTGTCCCCGCCGAGCGGTGCATCGGACACGCCTGCAGCAGGAGAAAGCGCGCCCGCTGCCGCCACCATCCCGAGGGAAGCGGAGGCCTGGGCGGCGTGGCGTGAGGATCCCGCGCTCGCCGCGGCGCTCTCCTCGGACCGCGGCCCCTCCGCCATCTGTCGGGCACACCTCGGGCCGCCCGAGGCGCTGCTGGCTTCCCTGCAGCTTCTCGTCTCCCAGCTCGCGTCGACCGGGCGCCACCTCGCATGCCTGCCGGCGGCGCACCTTGCGCGACTCGTCTGCCGCACCGCGCTGGCAGAGGCAGCGGCCCGCGACCCCCAGCCGGACGCGCCGCCGCCGCACTCGCCGCCGCTGGCGGCAGCGGCCGAGGCCGCGGCTGCAGCGGCGCTGGCGGGGCTGCTCGAGGCGTTGGACCTGCCTTTCGAGGCGCAGCGGTGGGTGGATGAGAAGGTGCTGCCAGCAGTGGCCGCGGCGCTGGGTTCTGGCTCCGCCGGTGTGACGCGAGCACCGGCGCGGGGGGCGGAGGAAGAGGCGGCGGAGCTGCGGCGGCTCGTGCAGGCGGCGCTCGCCGGCGGCGGCGGCGACGGCGAGGCGTCGGACGGAGGCGCCGGCGTCGGCGGGGGCGGGGGCGCGG